CATAACTAAGTTACTTATGCAAAAAAAGGCAACATTGTATAGATGGCACCCATCTTAATATCTGCAAAAGCCAACACTATAATATTTGTTTATAACAAGGATAACCAGATAGTATTTTCCCCAGCAGTTCATGGCAGGAATGGTTATGGAATTTGCTATGAGTTAATTAAAGTACAGCCCACATTGCAGGAAGGAGCAGCTGGCCGTAACAGTTCTGTGTTTTATGAACAGCTTTCAGTGAAGTACTATAGAAGTGGAATCTCTACAATAGAAACATGGCCCCTTTCAAACATGCAGCAGTATTAGTCTCTTGTTGCATGTCCTCTATGGTCCTGTCCTTAGCTAAAGGTGATACGTGATCAGATTTCCCTTCTTGCTGTAGGGGTGACTGGTGAGTTTCAGTCAGGAATATTGTACTTTCAGCTTTGGAGGAACCACTAGACACTAAATGTACCTTTGGCATATYTTATAGTTGTACAAGTTGATATTTTTCACAGCTTAATTGCTGCCTTACCAGTTTCTGAATGTGGGGCTTTTTTTGTCAGCATTGTCTTCATTCTTTAACAATATTAATTTTGATAGTTCACCGGGGTTTCTTACCACTCTTAAAGGTGTTGAATAGAAGGAAAAAAATGGGCCTGAGTTCTGTGAAGAGCTAATCTTTCAGGAGTCTGAGCTGCCTTTCTTGCTATGGTGCTGGAGATGCTGATTACCTGATTTCTGAAACCTGAAACCCTTTGCTTTCTGACCCAGCATTTCACTGGAAGATCTTTGCTGAAGGATTTTTATTCCTGCCAGATCTTTCATTCAGAAATCATGCTGTCTGGYGGTTTCTCTGTCCCTAAGCTTGCCTAAAGGAGCATGTCAGAGCTTAGCCAATGGCCTTTCCCAAAGCTTTCTGAAGGAAGAGAATTTTTTCCCAAAAAGTAGAGGCCTGCAGAAGTAGAATAGTCAGCCCTGGGGCAGAAGTATTCATAACTTTTCATGGCCCTTGTAAGCCCATGTGCACATTCCTTGTGATTTTCCTTACACTGAGGGGTTTGCTTCCATTTATTTTGCAAGCTTATATGAAGATGGACAGGCATGCTGTGTACCTTCTGGGAAGTGGAGTATATTAAAAATAAATGTTAAAAGCTTTTTCAAGAGGGGTTAGAACTCAATAAAACAGTAAGAAACCTTTCAGTGTCTTGGTATAAGGGACCTACAGCTCCTCCTAGGGGGGATGAGGCATCACGATAATGCAGTGTGCTGCTGTGCAGGAATAGTGCACGGCAAATTAAGGTCTGGTTTTGATGCAGAAAGTAGAAGGGGAACAACTTGGATTACCATAGTACTGGTCATGAATGAACTAACCTGCTTACTGGTTAGGCTGCTGAGGCTCCATGTACAGTCAGTCTTTCCTGTGTGGAGATTCTTGAAATCCTATGTGGACGCATAATCTCYGGGAATACTGTGGACTAAAAACACACTAATGTCTCAAAAGGAAAAAAGGTATTTAATTAAACATAATCAGTAATCTTGGTTTGATTGCTGGTATAATAGTGCCTGCTGGTGGAAACAGTGCTTTCACCAAAAAAAAAAAACAAATTGAAACTGCAGGATATAAGCTGTTCACATTTTTAAGATGAGGTGCAGCCTTTTGMTGTGGCCATAGCAGTCAAACTTGAAGATCCAGAAAGTTTTGAAAATCATATGTTATTTTTGGAAATAACATTTATTATGTTCTTATTTTGTTCCCATGTTTGTGACTGTACTTGAATATAGGTATGTTTCTGATTCTCCCTCCTTCTACTCCTGCCTTTCTTTCCTGCCCACATGCATGAGTTAAACAAACTAATCTATTGTCCATCACAGTTCAGCCCGGTTAATGTTGTATGTGTATTCAGGTATCATGCCTCATATTCCAAGTGGTGGCGAGAGGCCTGTGACCAGCATTATTCTGACTTCAGGAAGCTGCTGCTTGGGCCTCAGTAACAGCTTGAACAGTTTCTTTCTGCTAGTCTGCTGCAGCTGTCAAGTAAATAGTGTTGGTTTATGCACCCTTTATGGGTTTGAGAAATGAAATTACATTAAAGTATATGAAAACAGTGAGAGACTTCACATTCAGTGTGAAGGGACTAGATATCTAATCTTGGTTGCTGAGTAATCATTCTCCCAGCAGCATATTCAAAATTGGTCCGGAAAAAGTTTATTCCTACTACTATTTTAGCATTTGAGCCTCAAAATGATTGCTAGTTATGCTATTCCAGAAGAGTAAAGGAAAACTCTCACTGAAGTTCCTGATTCWTCAAGCCACATTCCTGCAAGGCAATGCTTTCTACAGGAGCTGTCTCTACTGTGACCTTCTAAGCTTTTTTGGGGGACCCTCTGAGCATTTTGTCACAGCAGAGACATGTATATTTTTGTAGTGCATTTTGGTTCTGTGTGAGAGATCATTCCCTCACTCTGGGAAATGCTTCAGTTATTTTCGGGATTATCTTGCCCCATGCATTCACTTTTCCACAAATGGCAAAGCTCCAACTGGCATAAGAATGAAATTTGCTTTAGAAGCTGAAGCTTCTAATTCGAAGTCTTCTGGTGCTCATTAGGAACAGTGGGTGACCTTTCCTTTTGAGCCCCCCCCCCATTTTCACTATGTGTTGATTTGAATCTCATTTTTATTCATCCACACCTCAGTAAACTAAAATCTTTGGGAGAAATTGTTGGGATTTACTACTGGAGCTGCTAAGAGAGCCTATTAATTAGAAAACAAACAGAATGATTCTCATATGCTGTAGTATCTCACAATACGTCTTCTTGAAATACATGTGGTAGGTTGCCTCTTAGGTGGTTTGAAAATACTTGTCCAAAATATATTCAGTAGTTCCTGAGGTTAATCTCAGGAACGAGGAAATTACTGGAAACTGTATTCTCATTGACCTTATGAGGAGAATGGTAAAACATTGAAGTAAAATTATCTGTGGTGGAACTATACCTAATGTCAATTTGGACTCATTAGCTAAACCTTGACAAGTACTTGTTAATTGTAATTTGATTTATTTCCCTGTAACTATCTATAGATGCAGAGATGCAATTGCTTACACTATTCCTCTGAGATTTTTTATATTTTCATCACTTTCCAAATGTATGTTGGTTCTCCAGCAGTTTCAAAATCTCAAACTGAATTGTCTAGAATTTGAAACACTCTTAAAATTTATTACGGTTGGTACCTAGTATCCAGAAATGTTAGCTGTTGGCAGACTGCGATCATCCTGATGTAGATCTTTCTCATTTACAACTACATGTGAGAAGAATTCATGACAGGGTTTCTGTATCACCTGTTGTAGGTTGTTTTGATAGTTGAGAAGTCATTCTCAAGCATGTGTAAGTAGTTATACAGTACAGGACACAAAATTACTCTAATATGATAAAGAATATGCAAACCCCTTAACACAAATGAATTAATTTGTGCTGATGACTTCTTTGTACTTTAATGGTGAAAGTTGATCCAGGTCTATCTTCTTTTCATTAGAAACACCATATTGCCTGTAACCATTCTGTAGTATTTGTATTAATTCTGCAACTTGTAACAGTAGAACAGCTGTAGTAGTGCTCACATGTAGAGGCTTGAAATCACTGGAAATCAGTTGTGGTGAGATATGTACTCGAGAGGTCATGTCTTTCAAGTGTTAAAAAAGTCCCAAGAGCGAAAGTTTACACTTAATCGGTAGCATCTAACTCTGTCCTGCATGTAGCATGTAGCACTGCAAGTCCTGCAGAGAGCACAGCTCCCGCATTGCTGTGGTAGCAGTAGTCCTTACCTATCATAAACATGAGTTAGACCAGCAAGTGTAGCAAACAGTCAGTTTCACCCTGATATTGACAAGAAACTTAGGCATGTGGCTTTTTAACTTTGTATTTGTATTAGAAGGAAATGGTTTAGAAGCCTACTGTGGTAAAGGGCTGTGGTTTAACTGTCCTCGGCTAATCACCCATYCTCATCTCAGCACACCTCCTTTGAACCAGTTGTGACTGGTTCAGTTTACAGCGTTTTTCCAGTAAATAACCAAATCTTCTTGTAAACAAACGCCCCAGCACCCAGAAGCCTTAAAAATCCACTTGTCTTTTTATTTCTAAATAAATAAGAATTAAAAACTCAGTAGGAACATTATATGTTTGTATAAATAAATTTCTGGGACATGTGAGCTGTTGCAAGATGTAAAATCTGCAACCAAGCATTTGAAAAAACCCCTGAAACTAAGAAGTGGTGGTTTTGGGTTACACGTAGGCACAGGGTTTGCTGTGTTTTCTCTCTGTTTTTTTCTGAACTGCGTGGACAACATCTTTCAGATTTGTGTCAGAGACATAAAGAGTGAATTTGGGGATCATATTACTGAGAGATCCTGTTTCCTTAATTCAGTCAAGCATTTGACTAGCAGAAATAAAGACAGGGGAGATCCATGTAATATCTGGGTAAAATCCATGATGCTACCGAAATCTATGGCCACTGCATTCCAAAAATACCTTTGTAGCTGTTTTATTTCACCTTGATTGGAACCAAACCTTAACAAATAATAGCATGGGATCCCAGGTATTTTTCAGAGTTTTTTTCTGAATCATATTTTTCTTCACATTGAAGAGTAAAATGACGTTGAAGGCAGTAATTAGTTGCTTTGTGTTCAATATGCAGATTATAAAATATAATAATAGTTTGTAAGGTATGCCGTTAGTAAAATAGCTGTGGTTGTTAGACCTTGGCCTGGCATGAGCTCTAGGAGGGAGTCCTGTCATATCAACATTTCCCATTGGCTTGGATTAGCTCTGTTTTACAAAGCTTAGCTTTCTGTTATACAATAAAAAAGATGTGACAAACTAGCATTTATTGTTCTATGTAAGAGTGTTCCTGTTTAACACATCAAAAAGCAGGAAAAAATATGTTTTGAGGATATTTGATTTTGTGAGAAATTTATATGAGCATAGAAATCAATCAGGTTTTGTAGACATATTTGTACAGGCTGTGGAAATGTTGGAGAAGAAACACAGGCCTCATAAAGACAGCTGGAGGAAAGCTTTTATTGCCATCATCATCATAGACACAGTAGGTGTAAATGCTTCAAGTGCTTATCTCCAAACCTAGAACACTGTTTTGCTGAAAACCAAGCATTTTATTCCAATAAGTCTTCTTYCTATTTTCCTACATAAATTTGAAAGAAACTGATTTGTGGAAATTGGAGATTAAGGGTTCAAAGTCTCTGAGAATTTTTCTTCTATTGTGAAAATACTTTACTAAAGCTTCACATTTGAAGTTTTGCTTAATTAAAAAAGGTGACTTTCAACAAAGTGATATTCATGATCATTGTGATTGTTTTCTTTTTTAAAAAATTATGATGTGCAGATTTTCAAACTGTGTCACAGCACTGGTGGATTTCTTGAGTTTCTGAATGTGTGCACCCTAGAATTGCTTATATTCTCGTCTGACTTCTTCATTCAAAATTCTTCTGTTCACTTGCTAAAGTTTTATTTAATTGTATCTTAAAGCACATCACTTCAGAATCATTAATTCCTGATTTGTTGGATACATGAGAGTTGCAACAAATCACTGAAAGTAAAAATGAACAAATACCTGTGCATTTACTGCACAGAAATGCTCCTAATTAAGCCTTAAATGTGATGACAAAACACATCTGTGCTTCATATGTCAATAACCCTGTTACACTCCTAAGCTTCTGCATGCATAGCTACTTTTAGCATGGCTACCTCCTTCACTTTGCACAATGGACTTTGGATTAAAATGCAATATTAAATTTAAAATACAATATTCCTATTGTGTATCTTTATTCAATATTCAGAAAAACAATAGGAAGACCAGACTGATACAAGAACACTAGCAATAAAGCAAAATGAGCCCTTATGCACTAATGCCTGAAAATTATTTTGGGATTTTTTTTTTCTGTTACATCTAACACTCAGAGCAGGGGAGTCTATATAGGTAAGCATATGGCAAAGTAAATTGAAGATCAATTTGTAGCCCTTTCTTAATCCATAATCCTTTATGCTTTCTTTCCTTGGTGTTTGGTTGAAGCCCACATTCTGCAGATGAAGAAGAGTACGATAAGGTAGTACATGAAGCTCTTCAGAAGAAGGATGACATATACTAAATATGCTGTCCTGTGCATTAACTGATCTGTAACAAATATAAGAAAGAAAAGTCTTTAATGTCAATATTCTATAGCCTCCTAAAAGATGGGTAGAAACGGAACAGTTGTAATCAGTTTACTGCTGCAATTACTCTGACACAATGGCACAGCACAAACACATACAAGATCTGACTGTCCTTTGAGTGGGTTTGTACTGCTAGTAAGTTCTAGACCAAGTGTGTTTCTTAGAACAAAACTGATTCTCAATGCCACTGGGTTATTATTCTCTGCAAAGGCAAGAGCATAATCGTAGTACTTCGAGCACTTAGTATAATGTTTGTTTGAATTGTTTTGTGTAGTATCTTTTGAACATAAGTGCTCATCATTCTTCCTAAATCCCATTCAAGCCAAAAAAATGTCCAAATTTCTGGGCAATTGGTAGATTGATGTAGCTGAAGTGTTTAACTACTCCAAGTTTAAAAAWGTGGCACTTATTGCAGGCTAATAATCTAGCAACCCAAAGAACATCTGTAGCATCCTAATAAAGCTACCTGATAAAGGTAGGAAAGCCCCTTATAATCCACAACAGAAGTTAGTTCAGAGTAGTGCTGAAGTGTTTTTGAGTGACAGACCCCAGACTTAAAAGATTTTCTGTATTCCATTTAGAAAGAGAATTATTTATGGTGTTCAGAGCATATGTAGCAATATCTTGCTTGACATGCATCACTTTCCCACATTTTAATACATTAAATTACCTCTGTTAAAAACTGTTTTGCAGTCCTCTTCCTGAGGAGCAGTCTTCATAGAATCTATGGAATCTACTGGATAGAGAGTTTAAATGCTCCAGTTAGGCTTTTCTTTAATTTTAACAAACATGAATCGAGAAGTAGGGAAAAAAAGAGGCTGTACAGCAACAGGGCTGGGAAGATGGAAAGTTAGTTTTAAATAACAAAAAATTATGTTTAAGATCAGGCTGAAAAGCAGATATTCAGAAGTGGCATTCATTTGCAGAGAGAATTTTGAAGAGGAGAAATGCTCAAAGAAGTGGCTGGGTCTTTGTTGCTGTAAGTGGGATATACATCTTTGCCCTTTCAGGAATGTGTCCATTAGGCTGTTCCTTGGCAAAGTCTGTTTTTTTCTGGAATGGGAGTCTGACCACCTGATCTTGTCATTGAAGAAACTGAAGTCTATTTGCCTTCACAACCTACTGTTATTAGAAATGCAGAATAATTTACATTGGAAGAGACTTCAGTTAATATTTTACTGGTTGTTCAACACCAAAGAATAATGTTGTGGAGTGTATGATCTAAACTTTCCCTATTGGGAATCTTGGTGCTACTTTTTTTTCTCTAAAATACACCATTTTTGTTCTTGAAGTAGGAAATGTGAGTTTGTTCCTGGTTATGTTGTTTGTATGCATTGATACAAACATTAAAGACATTTATTTTRTATATTTAAATACATCCTTCATCTAAATAAGATATATTTTAAAATGTATTTTTGTCAGAATATATTTTGAAGGTTGAAATGTAATTGTTATTTATGGCCATGCTCTCACTCATTGGAGTTAGGTAATTTAGAGTAAGTTAAACAGAGATAGGTATGGAGAGAAGATTAATCCAATTTAGACCACTTTTCTTATAGATTATTTAAACAATTTGCATTGAGTATAAGTTACTTTTTCTTTAAAGTTGCATTGTCTTTCAGATTTGGCTTTGCATAATCAACCTTTCCACAATTAAAAACAGAATCTTATTTTAATACATATTGCTGGACTATGGGTAAGTAGTATATTTAAAGTTCGTTCTACATCATCAGTAACCTCATTCTTAACTCCTTCGTTTTCTATAGCTGTGACTATTGTCGGGGTGTCAGAAGGGCTTACACCTGTAGGCTATTAGAATTAATACTGTTTTCAGTATTACTTCTGTAAGATGAGAAGTATTAATAGACAGGTTTCAGCGCAGACCTTTTGGAGCTGTGCTGATTTACACCTGATGAAGTTCAAATATTTTTCTCTTAAAATGGGATGCATATTTGGGGACCATAACATAGACAGGATTACTTTTCCTGGGAAAACTTCTGTCGTTTCTCCAAACTGCTTGGGTGTTTTAGCTGTTCTGCCTAGGAGTACAGATGTCTTCAGAAACAGTAATAGAAAGTATTATTACTCTAATTTTATTGTAAAAAAGTATGTCTATAACATTATTTCAAATTACATCTTTAATGTGGAAATATACCTTGTGCTGGCAGTGAATCCTTTTTCTCTTCGTGCTCGTATTTGCAGTAATACTTCTTGTCTTTGTTCTCTGCTGGTACAGTTAACCAACTGGCAATTGAGTATTCATCCTCTTTTGTGGACTGCCAAGTGTCACCTTTTACTACATTGTCTGTTATCTCCTTTTCTTCATCAGTCCATGTCACCCTAATAAGTTCTGGGTAGAATTTCTCAATTATGCAAACATACATTATCTGATTTCCATGTTTTTTCTGCAGGATTTCAGTGTTTGCTGGTGGAGAACTTCCTTTTTCTGGATGGGTTATTGGAGGAAAAAATTTAAAAACAGAGAGTTGGAAGATCAGTAGTGTACAGCAAATAAATATACACCCAAAAATACGAATTCTGAAGAGTGTCAAAATAAATTCCTTATTAACAAATGTTAATATGTAAATATAAATGCTCTTTTGAGAAATGTTATGAAACTGAAATACTGTTGAAGATATAAATATTAATTAATTTCTCTTGTAACTGAGTTAGAAAACTTCAGGTGGCTACAGGAGGGCCTGTATCCCACAACCTTCCAAGCAGTACTGCTGTCAGAAAGTGCATTTGCCTGTTCAAGTCTCCGACAATTATTAAATAATAGCAATATTTCCTGAACAAGCTTAATTTATTCAAAAAGAGGAATTTAATATTGCTTTATAATATTTTTGCAAAAACAAGTACATTAAAATTTTGTCTCCGGAATACCAAAGGTAAACCACCTACCTTTAAAATCTTAGTAGACTTATGCCCCCGAATTGTCCCCACTGCTTTATAATTAATATCTGCAATATCTATTGATTTTTTAGAAGCAAATATTAATTGTATGATTTTTTTGTGGGGTGGAGGAAGAGAAGGCAACAACAATTTATAATTGCTTTGGTTTTGAGGCATTCCATGTATTTACCAGGTGATGATTTTTTATGAAGATGGGAAAATGGAATCACAAAATGCCCTGGCCACCAAAGGTTGCAAATGCCATTTTGCCATACTAGACACATTTAAATGATTGAATTAACATCTGAAAATGAAAAACCAAAACTAAACTAAAGCAGAAGAACATAGTATAGCTAGCTAACRTTTTCACATCTAAGCAGCATATCTTGCCATCACAAGGTTGACACAGGTGTTGTGCTTTGGGAAACATGCTCAGTATGAGTATACATTAATATACTTTAAATTTAAAATGAGCTGTTTCCACAAGCTAACTGTAGGTAATCTCCATTTCATTTGCCTCTCTGGATTAAGCCTTATGTTATATTAGAGGAGGCAAAATCATCCAGATTTTGTCCACACTGACATGAAGTTTTGGTATTATTTACGTGGATAGTAAATTTAACAGTCTGATTTAGGTATATATGAGCAGTGAGTACATAGGCAGTACTCAAAGGCAATCATTTTTGTCTATGCTTAACTGCAAGAGAAGGCTGTATACAATTTTCAAAACTGAAAGTACTGCTTAAAAGTATTTTTTAAATGCAGAAGAAACATTTTAGATGTTCCCTTATCCCACTTTTTAATTCCTATGTAAATCTCTGCCACTGAATTTGAGCAATTAGATGCATGGGGTTTAAATTGTGGTCTGGCTGAGTGGTCCAGTTTTCATGCATTGGTAGAAAACACATTACTATATGTATCTTTGTTTAAAAGCTTCCCCCTTTCTTTGAATGATCTGACTGTTCTAGAGAAATCTTCTACATTGCATTCTCCCTAAAACAACTTAATGATTCTTTGAAATATTTCAGACTCAATGTTTAAACAGAAAGATGACCTGACTATCTTCAAAAGGACGTCTACCTTTCATATATTAAGAATTTTCTTCATTTTAGAGATATCATTAAAATGACAATGTGGACTGGATTCTGTTGTACCAGAAATAAAATCGCTAACAACTTTATAGTCCTCAAACATTAATTTAGGAGTTAATTTTATCTTCTTTATGCATCAGTCCTCCCAAGGATGTAAGATTAAAATAATTTTTAAAATTATTTATTTTTTCCAGAGCATATATATCCGGAAGACCATGAAGTAGCTCTTATCCCCATGATATTGCACTCTACAAAGCTTCATGACTATTTTAGAGGCTTCTTTAAATTTTCAAAGCTTAGTAAATTGTTCTGACTAATTTTGGTACATCAAATAGTATGTAAATAAAATAAAAAAATAAATAAAATGTATGTAAACATATATTATTCTCTTAGATTGTTAAGTCTAAATAGAGAGGTGAGAGAGATCCTTCCAGCTGCTAGTTCATCCTGCTCATTTTAGAGACTTCTGTTAAGATGGAATAATTTCCACCACTGGAATTGCTGATGTCATTCCATTTATCATAAAAACACCCTAGGTGCGTAGCTTAAATGGAACACCTAAATCATACCACAATACTGAGGAAACACATTGCTTGAATAATTACAGCTGTGTGCATGCATTGAAGTGTCTCATGTACATATATGGGTAAATGGATGACAGTGGAGAATTGAAGGAATCGATTTTTGCTTATTTATGTATATATGTGTTTGTATGTGAGAAAAAAATCTTTGTATGCATGTTCCTGAAAAAAAGGATGAAAACTTGCAGAATTGGCTGCAGGTTTTGATGTATTCTCAGGCTGCAAAGTCATTGAACTCAGCAAGACAGTTTAGACTGGCTTTTCTGGGCAAATTATCTGCTCCTTTCTGAAGAATTTTAAAGTAATGAGCTTGTACTCCTCTGTCAGTTTTTATTTAGTAAAATATTGAAAAATTTTGTGGTTTACCTGGTTAAACAGCTTTCTAAGGCAGGTTTTAAGAGGTATGTAGGTTTTACTTTTTCACATAATATACAGTATGAGCAAACATTTCTTAAGCTAACATTTATCTTCTCTCTCATGTAACAATGTAGTGAAGCTGCAAAACATTGTTCAAACAAAATCTTGGACTTAGGTTCATAATAAATAAAATATTGAAAAATTAAATTAAAAATATATCTTTATATAGGTTAGCTGTCAAAAGTTTTTTTTWAATTAAACTCCGTTACAGTTTCTTTATAAGTATCTCTAAATAAGATTTATGAATAAGGTCACTGAGTTCTTAAACCGAAATTTTAATTCTCACTACTTGGATGATTCTATAAAATAGAGTAATTTTGTACTGACACTCAAAGCTCCTCTGTTCCACTTCAAGCCAGTGGGAGTTGAAGGCATTGATAAATAGCATCCTTGTCCTGCTTGACAGCGATTTCAGGGATTATAACTGGTAATGATATAGTATAGTCCTGACCTACCATGAGCCCTTCCAGATACCTTAAAATGCTGTCAGCCGTCATTCCAAAGCTTTCCCATTACAAAACTTAAAAACATAAGACTGTGAAAACACTTACTGGAGATGATGAGTTTTGCGCCAGAACCAAATACCAAATACCCTCCCACAATCATACATTCCTTTACAGAAACTGCTATCTGAAGGATGGGATGCCATCCAGAGGGACCTGGACAAGGTCAAGAAGTGGGCCCATGGGAATTTCTCGAGGTTTAACAAGACCAAGTGCAAGGTGCTGCACCTGGGTCAGGGCACCCCCTGGTATGAACACAGGCTAAGGGATGAGCAGATTCAGAGCAGCCCTGGGGAGAAGGACCTGTGGGTGCTGGTGGATCAGAGTTTGGACATGAGCCAGCAATGTGCACTCACAGCCCAGAGAGCCAAATGTGTCCTGGGCTGCATGAAAAGCAACATAGCTAGCAGGGCAAGGAAAGGGATTCTGCACCTCTTCTCCCCTCTGGGGAGACCTCACTTGGAGTGCTGAGTCCAGCTCTGGAGTCCCCAGCACAGGAAGGACGTCAACCTGTTGGAGTGAGTCCGGAGGAGGCCAACAAATTGATCAGATGGATGGTGCCCCCCTCCTATGAGGAAGGGCTGAGAGGATTGTGACTTTTCAGCCTGGAAAAGAGAAGGCTTTGGGGTCACCTAATTTTGGCCTTCCAATACCTGAAGGGTACTTAGAAGAAAGATGGAGAGAGACTTTTTTACAGGAATACATTGTGACAGGACAAGGGGGAATGACTTCACACTGAAAGAGAGTAGGGTTAGATTAGATCTGAGGAAGAAATTGTCTGCTGTGAGGGTCGTGAGGCACTGGAACAGAGAGTCGAGAAAAGTTGTTGATATCCCATCCCTGGAAGTGTTTAAGGCCAGGYTGGATGGAGCTCTGAGCAGCCTAGTCTAGTGCAAAGTGTCCCTGGCCACAGCACTGGGTGTTGAACTAGATGATCTTTAACGTCCCAGGCCATTCAATGATTCTGTGATTTTGGCTGGAAAAGTACCAGATGTAACAACTGTAATGTGAACAATAAGTTTCTATTGATTTGGCTACATGAACATAGAATATTTGGATTCAATCTCAGTTAATGCCATTCACCAAGAACCTTATCCTAAGTCCTGGGTTTCTCCATTTCTTAATGATCTTAAGTTCTTAAATGTGAAGTAACTATGCTGTTTTACTCTAGTAATGAATCAAAAGCCTTTGCCTCATAAAGACCAAATCCTACAGAATTAGAGTGATGTTTGAAAATAATTTATTTTACACTGCGGGTAGGAAAAGCATGACAACTACCTGATTAGGTAGGTAAGGAAGGTAAAAACCATGCTTATCATGCCACAGATATTTCCAGTGAATTATAGATATGATTTATTTAGTCTGTCTGGCATAAATTATTAAAATCAATCTTTCCTTGATATCTTAATATAAGTTTATGTATTAACCAGGCTTAAAACACTTAGTAGCAATAGTTCCTCTGCCGTGTATTTGTTTAGTTGTTCACTTCAGGATTATGGCATTTAGAGCACATGTATTAGGGAAAAAAAATTGTCTTCCACTATTCATTAAAATAAATGTCTCTGCCAGAAAGAAAAAAAGAAGGATGACTTCTTCATTAAGCAATTATTAAGCAGTATTTCACCATAATGCTGAATAATTAATTAATTTTTAAGCAGTTATTAAACTACGAGAAGAATTTGGAGGTACTAATTTATTCTACTGCCAAAGTGCTGTGTATGTGACAAAATAATTAGCAACACATTATTTCACTTTTACCAGCCTAGTTCAATAAGATTTTTTGCAATGATCATTGCATACTGCTCTTTGTATCTGTATTAGAAAGAGGTTTTCTTTTATTATGCTGCTTGATTCCCTGCTAATTCCTTCAGTACACTGGAGGAAAGAATGAGGTCTCTGAAAATTATTACAGACCATTTTCCACCAGATTTCTAGGAGAACTGTAATCTAAAGTGGCTTGAAATAGCTCTTTTTTAGACATGTTTGTAATCCTAAACCACTGTGTTATGAATACCACAAGCTCAGTATAGGAACAGCGAGCTGGGGAGGAAAATCCTGCACAAGGAATGGTGCCAACTGAGGCTCTAAGAGGGCTGAGTGCCTCTGAGATATATAGACTCATCTATGTGACCACTCCAAGCTCCTATAGCTTATTGCATGAATAAAACATACAACTTACCGGAGACAATGAGTTTTGTACCTGAACCAAACACCTTGTTGTAATAACCAATCACAGTGAATAAAGCCTTTACAATATCATTGCAGCTCAGTTGTGTTTACATAGGTAAATAGTACTCCAAAAAAAAAAAAAAAAAAAAAAAAAAAAAAAAAAAAAAAAAAAAAAAAATCAGTTATCAATTGTAAGGCCCTACGAAAGTGGAAAAAAAGAGCAATCACCTAAAATAAACTAAAGTTTTTAAAAAATAGAAAACCTGGAATTTTTGAAGATGCATATATTGTTAAACGGACAGGATTAATCTCAACTAATTAGAGTCTTCTGAAAGTTTAGGTGGACAGTGTAGATGGAGCACCTTGGCTCCATCTCTGCTTTCTGGAAACAGGCAGCATCATTAGAAGATCTATTTGATCAGTTGTTGGTGAAGTAATTTGCTCCTTATACACCTCCCCAAGATCTGACCTAGAAATGGTGAACATTTTGGAGAGATCTGAGGATCATCAGACTATTGAACAATATTTTTGTTATCAGTAACATGAAGCAAAACTGCATCAATTGGACTCAAATCTCCCACTGACAAGACACCCTTTTCAGCTGGCCAAAATTAGCCAAACTGCTTTCATCTCAGATGCTTAGGTGAGCCAAATTACAAGCACACATCACAGCACCTAGGGTTTACTAGAAGCAAAATATTTTGAATAGTAGTAATAATTAATAATAAGCAGTTTCTGCAAAGCTAGGGAGAGAGAACAACCTTTCAGCTATGTCTATGTTAACTGTCAACTTACTGTGCTGGGCATATCTCAGATAACTCACTCATTTGGTATAGTCAGATACAGTCCTAAAGAAAAATGTTTTTCTTTTCAAAGAATATATACAACACAGAGGTTGGAAATATTAATTTCAGATTGAATTAGGAATATCACAAAAGACAAATATGCATATTTAGAGAAAAAACATCTTTTTCTTCTCCAAATGCTTTCTTTTCCATATTTAAATTCCTTTTTACACAGAAAATCATGATGGGATAAGTTATAGGTCTGTGCTGCAATAGCTGTTGTGTTTCCCCCATTTCATGCGTAAATAGAAAATCACACACACAAAAATACATTATGGGAATGCTATTCAAAGGGGAAATTCTGAAAAGCATTCAGAACTGTTAGAATTAGAGACAATTAAAATAGCAGAGCACTWCATGCCAGCCAATATCTAACTGTATTGAAAAGCATTTCAGAAGTAGTCAAGTTTTACGTTTTGTACTTACTTGAAACCCTAACTTCAGTTCCACTTCCAAATATTTTGACATCAGGATCCCACAGTCTGATAATGCTTAGCAGTATCTCCTGCACCGCACTTTCCTTGCACAGGCTACAGAAAAAGCCTCCCTGATTTAGAGGCTGGTGATAAATCTGAGTGCAATAGCTGAATTTTCAACATTAAGTAGAGTGCCATTTATAGAAATACTTCAATTTTTGTAGTAAGAAAAAAAGTTCTGAAAAATTTTGGTCAGAGGCATGGATAGAAAACATTTTAAATTTCTCTGTAACTCTCCTTGCCTGTTTGCAATTTGACTTAATTGTAGCCACCTTGATAATGTCATGTAGTTTCTGAGCAACATATTGTAGACATTGCTATATGGTTTATACTGAAAACAGCATTCATTGTATTGTTTGCATAGCTTCATCACAATGAAAAATAATACAAATGCAAAAATAAACCAGCTATTTTCAGTAGAGCCAGGAACCAGAAATTACACTCAGGGAGGTTTTCTTCCCAGTCAATTTAGACCAGACAACCTCTGTCAATAAGAAACTTTTTCATTTCTCACTTGCTGTTCTGGGAGTTAACTTTCAAGCAATTCACTTTTGTTTCCTAGAACAGGATGAAACCATCCCAATATTTAAATTTTTTACCCCTTCTCATTTTTCCATTTCCCCATCTTTTATAAGTATTCAGCATTTGCTCTAGAAGTAATCTCTATTCACAAGATTAATATATTTATTGATGAACTGCCTACCCAACTGGGGTGTCATGCACAGTTCACAAACAAAATATAATGTATGAGGAAGAAGTTAATTTTCCTCACAGACTTTCATTCTTAATTATCTGAGAACCTGAATTATTCTATGAAAATCAGTTCAATTATAATGGTACTTACTAGAGACAATTAGCTTTGTTCCCATGCCAAAGTATTTGATCCAGGTGYTCCACACTATGTTTTGACTTTGCAAAAAACTAGTATGCTCTCTTGATCTACCATTGATGAAGGAAATCTCAATTTTTCCCAATCATCCCTGCGAGTCTGTGTGAAGGCCTGGTCCTTGGCTGCTGGGAGGTCGTCAGGAATTTCAGATGTGCATCTGGATGTTCAACGGATAGCTAATATTCTTCAGAGAAAATCTCTTTCCTGAAATGTTACAAATTTGTTAGCTAACGTCTCCACTTATTTCTTAGAATAAGATGAAAGCTTTTCTTTGATTGTAGATAACAAATAAGAATACAGAGTTCTGCCTGTAAAAAACCACCACCTTCCGGTGGAAATCTTGCTCTTTACCAAAAGTGCACACCTTCAATTACATGACAACAAATACTACTAGCATGGAGTTAATTTTTCATTGTCTGAACATGGAAGAGGGAAAGGAAGGAGAGATAGTTTCAAAAACATTGTGAAGACGGCTGTGTGCTGCAGGTTGCATTTATTGCCCCAAGTACATGGTTATTGTCTGCCCATCTCCAGGAAGCACTCCAGGCTTTGATACAGCAGCTGACTGTTAGCTTTTCGTGTACTAGCTGGTTCAAGACGGAGGTTTTTCCTTGTGCAGTGTTCTCTTATGAAACAGCCAAAGATAACATCAGGGGAGTCACCACTACTGTCAGTCAAACAGCCTGCATGTTTAGTTTAGCACTTAAAATAAATTGAGTTAGAGTACTTCTRGGATGTCATGTAGCATACTGACTGCAAAATTATGTTGAGAAATTGCTCTTTGCAGCTAAAGGGAGGAACTACAGAGTGAAAGTCTTTCAGCTGAAGTAGGTGTGAAAAACCTCAGGGGTCTACTTTGAAGTCTTCTGGACAGAAACATCCTAATCACAACCACAAATCAAGGGTAGGAGTGATGTAGACAGAGAATGATGCTGACTGGTGCTTTTCCTGCTGTGCCCTTAGACATGCAGACAAAGAAACCACCTATCTGGGTTCCGGCCAGACAAGACTAATTTTTGCAGTGGACAGGGGACTGCATGGCTAGGACACGCAGGTTATCCCACACCACCTCACCTTAATTCTGGATGGGGGGGAAGGGAGCCTGTTCAAGGGGAGAAGGGGTTCCTTCTAGTCAAGAACATGTGGCTGAGTGAGGAGTTGGGTAATGCTTGTTCTGGACCGGAAGGAGCAGTCAGCTAATGCCAGTTCCAAGCAATCACATGGGAATTGTATTGTATGGTGCACACTTCATTATTAACATTGTTGCTGTTGTTTGCTTTCTTATCCAGTTTTGCCTTTTGTGCCTCCAATCCTGTTCTCCAGCCCACTGGAAAGGACTAGGGGGAACAAATGAGCATGACATGGTTTGAAGAGTTTCCGTGGGAGCACTACATTGGGGAGTACCACTCCTAAACCATTATAGCCTTATTTGGTGTCCAAATGGGGTATGAAATATTGAGGTAACAGCAGGTCTCTCCAGAGCCAGTTGAAAACAAATTTGATCCCTAAAATAGTAGATGTGTGTTGATGACAGGAGGGCTAATGATAACGCAGATTTTGAGAAGAACATTTGCGCACAGTTACCTGCTCTTTGGAGTGGCAGAAAAAGATTGGGCCTTTCAGCAGCTCGCTCAGATGGAGTGAGAAGACTTGGTGGAGTGGCACAGTTACAACCTCATGGTTCAGATGTTGTGGGTAGGTTTTTTTTGCATTGATGATCTTTGAGTTTCTATCACAGTGAGGATCCCAGTAGGCACAGTAGTAAGTGGCAGCATCATCTGGAATTACATCTTTTATTGTAAGAACACACCGCTTCTGGATAGAAATCCTTTCAACCATGTATCTGTTTGCTTGAAAGCCACTTTCAATGGTAACTTTTCCTCCTGAAAAGAATAGGAGCCTCTCTGGAGCTTTACCCTCCTTCTGCTGATACCAGTGTATGACGATGCCATCAAAATTTGCTTCTAATGTTTGAATTTCACATGTCATCCGTGCACTTTTTTGGAACTTGGTGATAGATATAGGACTCTGCATGGGAATTTCCTGTGCAAATCCATCTAGGAAAGAGAAAAGGAGAATTATGTCAGCTGTAATTCAGGGATTTGGAAAGATGTCTGTTAAAAAGCAATGGGTGCCCGTGAGGAGAGGTAGGAAAATAAAAACGTCCTTACAAGCCCAGGAGGCTGTGGCCACAAGCACTACAAGCAGCAGCATGTTTGCTTGTCACAGTTTGCTCTCATTGAGGAAGAGAATGAAAGGGACTCCGGATGGGGACTGTGTTGTGTGGAAAGAGGAAGTAGCTGTCTTAAATTGTCTTGAGCAATGGATCTTCTGTGTGGGGTGTGTCGTGGGTTTAAAAGTAAAACCATGACAGGTGTCTTTACAGAAAACCCTTTCCAGGCTGACAAATACCAAAATTGGTAAAGAGGCTGTAGTACTGTTTGTTTTTCAAGTAAATGTGGAAAACACTGAAAAATCCAAGGATTGTGGCCCTGTAAAACTCTACTCAGAGTGACTGAGAAAAGGTTGCAAGTAAGAGCAGGTCCAGCTATGTATGATGGAGTGAAGGTTTCATCCTGGAGGYAACCCTGGTGGGCAGTGAGTATGTATCTCACCGGAGGCATGTAGAGAGGTGCGCAGTGTCAGAGTAGGTGGGGATGGCTGTTTGCTGCTTGAGCTTAGTCACTTAGCTGCAGGGTGCAGAAGTTCCATGGGTTCCCCTGTGCAGGTACTGCCCTCTACCAAAGCTGCTGAAGGCCATCAGCCTGCAGAGACTGTGGAAGCTCCACTGTGGAGATTTGCCTCTGCTTTGGTTTAGGGTGTGGGAGGAAATGCACAGCCACAGGATTTCAGTTTCATAGCTCAGCTGAAAGGCAAACACTTCTTGGAAATAAAGGCTGAAAAAYAAAAGAGAACAGCTGCTGTCAACCACCATTGCAGAGAGACATCTTGATGGGGGGGTCTGTGCTGTGGGGGACTCCCCTGTAACWGGGGAGCCTGGGCTGTGGCTCTCCGGGGGTCATGGAAGATGAGTTACTTCGTTCTTTCTTCTCCTGGAAATTGACCACATGCAGCATGCTGATGATAATTACATGTTCCTAAGTGGTTTGGAAAGGTGCATGTGAATGCAGACCTCTGAAGAGTCAGGCAAGGAGAAACAACTGCCTCTGTGTGGTGGAAATGAAAAGGATTCCTCTCTTCCCAGCCAATAACTTTAGGAAAGCCTGTTTAATTTTCTGTCAGGCCACCCTGAGGTGAAGGGAGGGAGAGTCAAGGAAGAGATCACTTATCCCAGCAGTCTCCTACACGGGCAGCTACAGCTGTTTCAGAGTGGAAACTGCATTGGCTATTTTATGTTGAGGACCTGAAATCAAGCCCCTGTTGCCAAAAACTACCATGTGTGAAACAGTAGCAGTACATTGCTATTCTTCTGATCACAAAGCAGAAATCCGTCAGGCAACTGATCCTAGATAAAGAGTTAAAGGAATAAGCCAGTGGCTGGCTCTCACATGATTAAATGCCTAATTTACAGATGCTGTCTAGGTTTTGTACGGTAAGCTTTCTAGTACAGTAAGTCTCCAAGTAGGAATAATTACTGGCCAAGCATGATAGTGTCTATTCCAAGAAGACACGTTTAGTGGCCAGAATATTGTTTTGAAAAATACCTTTCCAGGTTCAAATGATCACTAAACATACTTGTCTATGACATCACTGATAAAATGGCCAAAATCCATTTTGCAAAGAGCTTAGTTATCTAAAGCTATCTTTATAACATCCCCTTGTACGTGACTGCTGACTAATCCTGATCACCTTCTTCTACTTCCTGTGTCTGTAGATAATTTCCAGGATTATTGGCTCCACATCTTGCCACATTTTATCAGGCACCATGGACTTAAGTATATTCAGTTTAAGTGCTCACTAGCCCAGTCTTCCTCCACCAAAGCTTATGTCTTTCTTGCTCCAAACTTTCTGTCTGGTCTCAGGGGCCTGGGATACATGAAGGCCATTCTTACTGGTGAATGCTGAGGCAAAGGTAGTACTGAGTACCTCAGGTTTTTCCATGTCATAAATCACAAGTTTCTTTGCCCTGTCCAGTAGCCTTCCATAGTCTTTCTTTTGCTGCTGCTATATTTGTAGAATCCTTTCTTGTTCCCCCTTACATAATTTGCAGAATGCAATTCTAGCTGGGTTATTGCTTTCCTAAACCCATCTCTGCATGGTTGAAGAGCAGGTCCATACTCCTTGATCACCTGCCCTTGATTCTGCCTCTTTTGTACTTCATTTTTATGCCTGAGTTAAGTCAGAAACTTTTTGCTCATTCATGAGTGATCTTACTGCTTCTACTTGGTTCTCTAATTACCAGGCTGGACCTTTCTTGAATTTGGAGATTCTTGAATATCAACCAGCATTTGTGGACACTTCTCTCCAGGGTTACATCAAGGTGATGCCTCCAAACAGATCTCTGAAGAGCTTTGAAGTCTGCTGTCATGAAGCCCCGCCTTTTTCCCTGTTGCCCTCTCTCAGGAGTGTCAACACCACTGGCTCATGGTTACCACTGTCCTGACCTTTCCATCCACAACAAAGTCCAGCAGAGCGCTTTCCCATGTTGGCTACTCAATCACCCATGTCAGGAAGTTGCTGCCAACTCAATCCAGAAACCTCCTAGACTGGATGTGAGAAATCCTCAGATCCCACAATACAAAGACAAAAGGCAATCTGACTGAAGTTAACATCTGATGTCACAGGTACCACAATCTATTTTTCAAGTAGCTGAGGAGGACAGAAACATCCATAGCAAGATGTTATATATTCAAATCACATAGAAATGTTAGCAAAAACAATGTTCAGAGCCTGTGGAAATAGAAAGCCATCACTATGGAGGTAATTGTGTTAATTCTTTAAGGTCCAGATGCATTAGACAAGTATCTCAAAGGATGCTGAACATACACATGCTAATTCAGAAAATTTAAGGAATGAAAGCATCTCAGTGTTCCAGGAAAATGTGTCAGGAAAATGTGTCAGGAAAATGACAGCTTTCCCGGAACCAGTCTTTGTAACCAGTCCTGGAACTAGATTGTAGAATCTGATTTCTAGAACTCTGTACACTTAACTCAGAGAATCTCTGCTTGTCTGGGACATACCTCATGGCTGAGGACATAAATTTATGCCTTAGACACACATGGTGAAAAATTGTGACAATAAAATTAGGTTTCCTGGGCTATCGTAGGAGTTTTTAGTTACTGAAATGCAAAGGAAGGGAAAAGGAAAATATGATAGAGGATTTGCAAGATCACATGGTCTTCCCTCCTTCTTTGATATTCCTGTCTTTTTTTTTTTTTTTTCAAGTGAAAATACTGAGGGCATGAAGAAATGTTGCTCTGCTTGCTAGGATTCCAACAGAGAAGAGAAATTCACAGCTCACACATAGAGACAGGTTGTGTTCATTGTCAGGTGATTGCTTTCAGAAGAATCTAGCCTTCATTTTAAGAACAATGTTTCATATATTTACCTTAAAGTGACAAGAAGACTCCACTTTCTGGATGTTGCAGATATATCTGAGTACTGAAATTATATACTGGTTGTCAACATCATATATCTGTTATTATAAGACATTGTTGTTTTTCCTCTCCTGCTGCGGAAAATCATGAAAGGGATAGAATAAGGAAGTATTTGAATTTTTAGCAGAGTTCAGAACTTGTGGTTCAAAGCACAAAGAGTCTTTTTGTAAGGCTTATCTTTGCCCGGCTAATGCTGTGGTTCCTTGATAAAACCAGTATGCACAGTAATAAATTCCAGAGTCCCTCGGCGTTAAAGAATTTATCGTGAGACCATATACAGGCTCAGTAGGATGATTCCGAGCTTGAAATTTATTTCTATCGTTGCTGTCGTCAAAAACAGGCGTCCCTCCTGACACGTACAGAATCCTCTTTGGTGGCTCCCCGGGAAGCTGCCTGTACCAGTGCATGACAGTTTTGTCCCCCAGTCGGCATGACATGCTGGCAGACATGCCTTTCACCTGCTTCTGCAGCTCAGGGGTTTGCACTGGTGCTGACTGCATGTCTACACCTGGAAGTGAAAGCAGAGAAATTGTACAAGGGGAAAAGCTCCTGGAGTTTGGAACCAGGTCTGCGCTCACGGTAGACAGGAAGGAGAGAGGAGAGGCAAAAGGGCTTACAGGACCATAATGAAGTCGCAAGAAGGACTGGAAACAGCAACATACTGCCTGTGCAGACCTGAAAACGAAATAAATAGAGACAGAAACGTTATAAAGCCCTTCAGGTGGACAAAGTATCAAATGACTGGGAGGAGGAAATTACTCATTCAGCACATCCAATGGTTGTTCTTTGACTCACTACCACAGAGGGTGTTATATTTACTGACAAGCTAAACCACAGCAGAAATAGCATAGAAAGGACAAAATAAAATACTTGATCTGAAAAACTTCATCTGCCAACTACACTTTTATCAGACTTACCTGCTGAGAACACACATAAAAACCTCAAGTTGTTCAGCCTGGCCTTTCCCAAGGATGTTCTCTTCTTTTTAGACACCTCAAAGCTGTCCCACAATGTCAGCTGTCCCTGACATTCATGTTCCACCAGCCTTTTCTTAGAATGTCACAGAATCATAGAATGATAGAATGCTTAGTGTTGGGAGGGACCTTAAAGATCATCTAATTCCCCCCTCCACTCCATGGACAGGCATGTCACCATCTAGATCAAGTTGCTCAGAGCCCCATCCAATCTGGCCTTGAACACATCAAGGAATGGAGCATCTACAGCTTCTCTGGGCTGTCTGTTCCAGTGCCTCATCACCCTCAGAGTAAAGAATTTCACCCTCACATCTAATCAAAACCTCTTTCAGTTTAAAATTCTTCCCTCTGCTTTTATCATCATCTGCTCATGTAAAGAGTTGTTTTCCATAAGCCCCCTTGAGGTACTGGAAGGCTTCAATAAGGTCTCCCCTAAACATTTTCTTGTCCAGGCTGAAGAGCCCCAACTAGGCCTTAACTAGGGCTGTCACTGGTAGTGTCTGCCAAGGTTCAATATTGGGTCCAGAATTGTTTAACTCATTTATCAGTGACTTGGGGGAAGGGATAAATGCACCCTCAGCAAGTTCACTGATGACACAAAGCTGGGATGAGTGGCCAATACCCAAGAGTGCTGTGTCAACATGGTCTCTTGGGTTGAATTTATGATAACACACTATTCCTATACCCCGTCTGCTTGTATGCCCAAAAGGTTTCTGTGCCTTTAAATGCGACCTGGAAGAAGGGGCAGGGGCAGCTGGGAAGGCAGTGCAGGCAGTTAAAAGCTGGGGCTGCTGTGCAGCCATTGGCTTTTGGAACTAAGCTCGGTGCTGCGGTAGTTCTGCTCACTGCATGCAGGGGAGTTACGTTGTTGCCGCTTAACTAGCTCAGGTTTGTTAGCATGGGCAAACAGCTCTCCCTGGACTGCTACCCTTTCTGCGACTCCTGTGATTTTCTGGAGTGGATCAATGGGGCTGTGGTCTGGGAATCAGGAGGCAAGTGCTGCCTAGCCGGGTGCTGGCAGGGACAAGACGCGGGTGCTGCTTCGTCTCGTCCCGGACTCCAGACGAAGTCAAGCCAGCGACAAAAAAGCACACCAAGCCTTCAGTTTCATCCACAGTGAGGAGAGAACTTCCACCAGGTTCCCACTGTTGCCCGAGTGGCCACGTGGACTTTTCTTTTGTTTCTTTTTTCTTTTTCCCGGGACAAGAGCTGTGCCATTTTTTCCTTCACACCACATGCCGAGTGGCTGTGGGGGGAGTGGGACAGCGTGTGTTTCTGTACTTTTAAATATCTAACAGTTACTTTTTTATCTGTGTCCTGTGGGCACCTTGTTTTTTTAATAAACTATTTTTCTCTTCACATTTGCCCAAACTCCTGTTTCATATTGGTGGGAATAAATTATCAAACTTTTCACTTCAGAGGAAACATTTATCCTGTAACATTTCTCTCTGAAAATATTGTCTCAAACCGAGACACATGGCGGGCTTCAGCAGGTTGGAGAGATGGGCAGCCTACTTCCCAACTGAGGGCATCTGCATGCAACAGTGTGGCAAGGGGTCAGAGTTGTTTTAAGTCAGTGTGCAACTGATGAGGCTGGTTGAGGATGATATGAGCTGGGCTCTGTACTGCCCTCACACTAGGCTTGAGCAAGGTTTCAAAACCAAAGGATGCTKGGGGTGAAGGGGAGCCCTGTGAAGTGGAGCCTGCACAGCCTCGTGTTGTTTCAGTGAGGCACAAGAGAAGCAGTGCCTATGCACCAGCCTCTCCCTCTTCTCACTCCCCCTTCACCCTGAAAAGGGAACCTTGCTGTAAATCTCATCTGCTGAGGAGAAAAGRTGCAGAAAGACTGTCTGGCAAAGGTCAGACAGCAAAGGCTGCCTCAATACATGGAGGAGGGTGTTAAGATCTGGTTTTAAAATTATTAGAAATAACTGCCTCTGCCCAAAATAAGGTTCAAACGAGACCATATGCTGAAGTCAATAGCATATGGTATGATATGTAAATGAATGCTGAAGTCAATAGCATATGGTTATGATAGTAAGTATGAGAGAGACAGAGAGAGAGAGAGAGAGAGAGAGAGAGAAGGAGAGAAAAAGAGAGAAAAAGGAAGAGAAAGAAATAGACAAGAGGCAGGGGACAGAAAAGAGTGATAGAGACAGAATAAAGAAAATATCACTTCTCCATGGACCCCATCAGCAACCAATTGATCCTCTCCAGCTGATCTTCTTGGTGGTGAAGGCYCCCTCAAAAAGCAAAGAATCCCATGGATTTACATACATTCAGGCCRGGCTAGGAATGCCCAGGTACATCCCCCCAGGGGAGGGGACAATCTCTTGCAGCAGATTCTCGATCTGTTGCATCGCTTTGTGTCACGCTTTGTGTCACGTGTGATGCTATGGTGCAAGGCCTCTGGGGAGCAATTTGGGGAGTCTTTGAAGGATTATGACACCCCCTCGGCTGCCTCTCATGTGAATGTGACGTGGATGTGGTTTGTGGGGCTGGGGCTTCCACACCTGGGCCAGTTTGCGCAATGGAGGAGGGGTGWTCACTGCCTCTGACCAGAGGTTACACCATTTACCCAAAACCTCCTCTCTCTTCTTGTTTCGGCGGGGAGTCTGTGTAAACCTGGTCTCTTTAGGCTGTGGTCTCCCCTACCCCAAACCCAGGCAGGGAGTCATTGGTTTTCTCCTTGTCTGATATTCATGTAAACATAGTCAGTATAAACATGTTGGGGTGTTTCAGAGGCAGGAAAGTGCAATTATGATTCTCTGCATTTGAGAAAAAGCCTTTCACTCAAGGCACAGGCAGCTTTCTGTACAGGCTGCCTGTGACCTCCTACTTCTGTGGAAATGCCAGTAGGCATGGTAGTAGGTGCCTTCATTGTTGGAGTTGATGTCATTGATTGTGAAAGTGCAGACATTTGTACCTTTCTTCAAAGAAGAATTCTTCTTTTTGTAGGAATTGTCATTGTAAGAAGCTGCACCAGATCCGATGTACAGAATCCATTCTGGAGCTTTGCAGAGCACACATCGGTAGCAATGTATGTATGTGCTCTGGAAGTCAGCTACACCCTCAACTGCACAGTCCATTGATGTAGTGGTCTTGTGCCTTCTGGTAATGGATACTTGTCTCTGCTTTAGAAGCACTGTGCTTCTCCATCTAGAAAGAGAGAAAACAGAACAAATACTCTTAGCCTGTAATCATTCACACACACAAACATGGGATGCTTCCTTCCACTGCCCCGTGCTGTGGTGACAAAGGGAACCTATGAGACCAAGCTGCAGACAGGGCCAGGAGAGGAAGCAGCAGCATCCTGAGAGCTCTTGCTGATGTCTGACCTCACGTGGAAGTTAACAGCACTTTGAGCAGGGCCAGAGGGTTGTAAGTGAGGAAAGGAAATGACTCACTCTGGCCTTCTGAGAGGCTGTCCTGGCAACATATGGGTGTTGTTTGAGATAAAGCAGTCTTATA